TTCTGCCATAAGGATGGTGTCATCTACGTATCTGGGGTTATTGATATTTCTCCCGACAATCTTGATTCCGGCTTGTGCTTCATCCAGCCTGGCATTCTGCATGATGTACTCTGCATATAGACCCAGGGTTTGATCCCTTGGTCGAGAAGATTCCCTGAAGTAGGAAATGGCAAACTACTCCACTATTCTTGCCAGGATATCCTATGGACAGAGAAGCCTGGTGGGCTATAATCCACGGGGTTTCAAAGAGTCAGACACGACTGAGCAACTGCATGCACTCTGCATATAAGTTAAATAAGCAGGGCGACAGTATAGACTTGACATTATACTCCTTTCCTGATTTGGAACCAGTCTGTTGTTCCGTGTCCAGTTCTAACTGTTGCTCCTTGACCTGCATACAGATTTCAGGAGGCAGGTAAGATGGTCTGGTATTCCCATCTCTTTCAGAATTTTCCTCAGTTTGTTGTGATCTACACGGTCAAATGCTTTGGTGTAATCAATGAAGCAGATGTTTTTTCTGGAACTCTCTTGCTTTTTCTATGATCCAACAGATGTTGGCAATTTGATCTCTGGGTCCTCTGCCTTTTCTAAATCCAGTTTGAACATTTGGAAGTTCATGGTTCACGTATTGTTGAAGCCTGGCTTGGAGAATTTTGAGTATTACTTTGCTAGCATGTGAGATGAGTGCAACTGTTCAGTAGTTTGAACATTCTTTGGCATTGCCCTTCTTTGGGATTGGAATGAAAACTGACCTTTTCCAGTCCTGTGGCCACTGCTGAGTTTTCTAGATTTGCTGGCATATTGAGTACAGCACTTTAACAGCATTATCTTTTAGGATTTGAAATAGCTCAACTGGAATTCCATCACCTCCACTAGCATTGTTCATAGTGATGCTCCCTAAGGCCCACTTGACTTCGCATTTCAGGATGTTCAACTCTAGGTGAGTGATCACACCATCATGGGTATCTGGGTCATGAAGATCTTTTTTTGTATAGTTCTTCTGTGTATTCTTGCTACCTCTTCTTAATATCTTCTGCTTCTGTAGGGCCATATCATTTCTATTCTTTATTGTGCCCATCTTTGCATAAAATGTTCCCTTGGTATCTCTGATTTTCTTGAAGAGATCTCTAGTCTTTCCCAGTCTGTTGTTTTCCTCTATTTTTTTCGCACTGATCTGTTAGGAAGGCTTTCTTATCTATTAAGCTTGCTAATCTTTGGAACTCTGCACTCAGATGGATGTATCTTTTCTTTTCTCCTTTGCCTTTTGCTTCTCTTCTTTTCTCAGATAACTGTAAAGGCCTCCTCAGACAACCATTTTGCCTTTTTGCATTTCTTTTTCTCGGAGATGGTTTTGATCACTGCCTCCTGTACAATGTCACGAACCTCCGTCCATAGTTCTTCAGGCACTCTATCAGATCTAATCCCTTGAATCTTATTTCTCACTTCCACTGTATAATCGTAAGGGGTTGGGTTCTATACAGTAGGAAACAAATGAAGGAGTTCTAACCAGGGACCATGACATCAGTATCATCTCAAACAGGACCATTAACAGAGGGATAAATCAGTACTTCCTGTGACTGATGGACAGGATAGATGATTTGGGTTCTAAAATCATTTCTCAGGTAAGTTCCCTTTCTCCACATCTCCCCCTCCAGTACTTTTGAGAGATGGTGAACAGGACTGTAAGCAAAACAATCTTAAGGAGCAGCTAAAGAAGATACATTATCAGTAGAACATTATCATGATAAAATAGTTGAAAGTTTCCTTTTAGGTATTAAGATTCTCTAGCACATTTAAAGACTCTGTTTAATAAATTTGATCCATATACAATGCTTCAAATGTATCTGTTGTTTAGAGTAGAATATAAATGTTCCCTCATTGTAAAATGATGTAAACAATGCTATTGACCACGCAGGACTGTAGTGAGGATCAAGTGGATTAACAATGTAAAGTGCTTAGAACAATGCTTGGTACATAGTTATCCTTCCATAAGTATTGGCTATTATTGTTATTAATATTATTACTCATGCATCAAATATCTATCCAGCCTCTACTACATGCCAGGCACTGTTCCAGGGACTGCAGAAACAGCAGTGACTAAGAGGTGAGAAAGGTCCCTGCTCTCCTGGAGCTTCCACTCTAGTTGGGGGAGAAAAAAATACATGTATATCAGGTGATAGTAAAGGAAAGAAAAATAAAGCAGGGTAAAGGAAAGTGGGAAGCACAGTGCAGAAGGAAATTGCCACTTTTCATAGGGTGGGTAATCAAGGAAGTCCTCTCTGATAAGGGAACATGTGAACAGAGACTCGAAAGGAAATGAGGTATTAATAATAAGCTCTGCAGCTATCTGAGGGGAAGAGTGTGCTTGAGACTATTGAATCAAAAAATAAGCCACTGAAAATAAGTATTAATAGATTTGGGTTTGTAATAGGGAGTAACAGTGTCTGTTAAGAAGCCATGGTCCACCTAACACAGGCCTCAGTTCCAGTCTGGTGCTGCTGTGAGGAAATGTGGACCCAGTGTTGTCAGATCTCCTGGGCTTTGGTTTTTGTTGTTGCTATTGTTTAAAGAAAAGGTTTATCCTAAATTTTTCATGTGAACTGTTCCTATGTTTGAAACTGTGTAGGCATAAATGGAGCTTCCCTGGCGGCTCAGATGGTAAAGAATCCGCCTGCGATGCAGAAGACTGGGTTTGATCCCTGGGTCGGGAAGATCTCCTGGAGGAGGAAGTGGCAACTCGCTTCAGTATGCTTGCCTGGAGGATCCCAAGGACAGAGGAGTTTGGCAGACTATACTCCATGGGGTCACAAAGAATCAGACACGAGACTGAGCAACTAAGCATGCACGCATGTAGACATAAGTGCACAGATTTGTTCATCAAAAGACAGGTACAAGAATATCCGAAGGTGGGAATTCCCTGGTGGTTCAGTGGTTAGGATTTGGCGCTTTCACTGCCAGGACTGGGTTCAATCATTGATCAGGGAACTAAGATATGGAAAGCCACATGGCACAGTGCCCCTCCCCCGCCCCCAAAAAATAATTTTCACAGGCATTATTTATAACAGCCCCATACTGGAAGCTACCCACGTGCCGATCAGTTGTGGCACAGTAAAAATAGTCTCTACACAGCAAAGAGAAGTAATCAACTACACTTCACACATTATGGGTGAATCTTACAACATAATGTTGAGAGAAAAAATGCCAGTCCCAAAAGAGTTCAGAAATAGGTAAAACTAAGATATGATGTTAGAGACATAGATAGTGGTTACGCTGTCTGGGAGAAGTGCTGGTGGGTTGTTTTTTACTTTTTCCTGCCTTGATCTGAAAGCTGATTTCATGGGTATGTTCAATTTATCAAACTGTACAGTGATTTGTGCACTTTCCTGTATGCATCTATATGTCAATAAAAAGTTAAAACAACTGCAACTAAGACCCAATGCAGCCAAATAAATGAACTTTTTTTTCAAAAAAGTTAAAAATGTGGGCCAAAGTAAATCTCAAGGCTGATTCAGAGCTATGGGCTTCCAGTTTGCTCTACAACACATATGTTTCTTTAGAGAAAACAACTGAGAAGTTTTGGGGTTTTTTTAAAAACATACTTTGAAATGCAGGTAACACCCCCTTTTACAGAAGCTCCTACATTAAAGTCCAACGAGGAACCCATCTTTCCTTCTGGATCACTACCCAGCCTCAGATTTATCTTTATATGTGATCCAATGCTAATGTCCACTTGTTCTCAAACTAGAAAAATCAACCCACGTATACCATATCATAAACCACAGTTACTAGTAAAGGCACATAGAAGCAGGAGGAGAACCCAGAGGCAATTTCAAAGGACAGTATGGCCTACTTTAGGATGAGAGGGCTTCAGGAGTCTTCAGGTTGGGAGGCTCATAGACACAACAGAAATTTCAGGTAGTTATGAAGATGTAGTAGGAATCATACTGGGCTGCAATAATTTATCCAGCAAACAGGCATGTCTTAGCCTGAGCCATGGACCATAGGTAGAGAATTGATCGGGTGTGTGATAGATTTTAGAATCTGTGTTCTGCGGCACTTCAAGTACAAGCATATCCCAAAGATGCCTCAATTCAGGAAATGACTAGAATTAAGAAGGCTGTTCTAGAGTGAAGACTGAAATCTCTGGATGTACAGTGAGGTTTGGGTCTTGGGGTCTCCTTAGAAGGAAATGATTGTCTTGAGTTGAGCTGTTGATAAGAAAGTTGTTGCTAAGAAAGGTAGAGTTACTAACAGGGCAGGATTTGGGAACTAAGTCACACTGGTTTCTCCAAAGCAAGGAGGATGGTGGAATGTGGTGAGGATGTTCAAGGAAAGTAGAACCTTCTAGAGGGAGCGAGATTGCCTAGATTGGGACTAAAAAAGGTGTTTCAGGTTGGCAAGGAAACCTAGAAATGACTCAACTAAGGCTATCTAAGAAGAGAATACCAGGGGCAGACAGTGCCAGTCTGGCAGAACAGATCCTTTGTTTAGCACATCAGCCTTGCTTATTACTGTAGTATGTTACAGACTACACAAGAATTTCCCAGGGAGGAGGTATCCAAGGTGTGAGGGGTCTATGATCAATTGTACTACGTAAATTGACTGAAAAGGGAGGGGCTAGCTAACCTAGAATCTGATTTGTCTCAGAAAGGACTATTTCCTCAGGAGTATTACCCAAGTGAATCACAGCTCATGCCTATTTTGAGAATTCAACCTTTTGTCCTTTCTGCCTCCTTGAGAGCTGTGGGCCAGTTATAACTCAATGAACTAGGAGTTCCATGTTTCATGCTTGATTTCACTATCTTTATCATCAAAAGTTACCAGTACTTCCCACCATGAAGACTTACCTTTAATGCCTTTCATGAAATGGGTTAAAATGCCACCACTAAACAGTCAATCCACCTGAATAGAATGTTAAATTTGAGGGTATCTGGATTAATTCTGGTCTTCCTTCCCAAACATGGACAGAAGCATAAAAGGAACTCCACATGAAGCAGCTTGAAATCTTAAATATTCAAGTCTATTGTTCCTTTTTAACTTCAAATGGCAGGGAGCTTTGTTTTAATTGGGGAAGGGGCCAGGGACAGAGCCTGGAAATTGAAAAGGGAGAGAACAGGCACGCACCAGACAGGGGCATGGCCAAGGCAAGACAGCTGAACAGTTGCTTCTGAGGCCTTTGTGAAAACCACATGGTAAGAACGTTTGGGGCATTTACTTTCTACCAGCTAAAAGTCCAGTCCTATACTGGATTCATCTGCTGGAAACTCTGAGAAGCTGATGCATGACTGGGCTTTCTCCAGTGGAGTGCCCTCAGGAGAGACTGTCTGAGCTGCTGACTCTGCCTAGCTCTGGAGGCAGAAGCAACAAGACAGCGGATTTTTTCCCCTTTCTTGTATACCTAAGTCCAACAACTTGAAAATGGAATGCAAAAAAGTAGCCAAAAATGATCTGTCCTAAATCAGGTTAGGTATACATCTTCTCCAGAAAGTACTCCCATTATTTACTGATCCCTGCCTCCAAGCTGGGTTAGATGCTTGACCCTTTGTTCTCTCTTCTCCTAGCCAAGAGCTCTGTCACTGCACTTATCCCATCGGATGATTAGTTTCATTATCTCCCTAGAGAAAGGCTTAACCATTTTGTACCTTTGGTAGCCTTCTGAAATCTATGGACTAGCTCTCGGAACAATATTTATCAGTGCATGAAATAAAATATATAGGGTTACAAAGGAAACCAATTATATTGAAATATAGTTCTTAACTCCAGACAGTCTCTGGAGAATGAGTCCCTTGAGTGCATGGACTGAGTGAGCCTTCATCTCTGTACTGGGAGTGCCTAGCACAAAGCCTGGCACATAGGTGACACTTACAAACATTTACTTAGTGAGTGAATAGAAAGATGGATGGCTACTGAGAGCTCAGCCTGAGGAATGAGTCATTGCAACTGCTTGTGCACATACCAGTGGCTTGCATGTGTCTCACCCCATCTGAGATCATTTAGACCAGGGCTATGAGGAAACCCACACTCAACAACGGGTACATAGCATTGAGCAATAATGACAGGCTATTGGAAGACCAGGAAAACAACAAAGCTCATGTATTTCCACCAGGTGGAATATTCAGAGTGAAAGTAAACAGGCTCTGTCTTTAGGAGGCGATCTCTTGACTTAGGAAGCATGATGCTCACACTACTTTAAAACAGTACCAACGTCTCTGAAACAAGAAAGAAAGGAACCTGAGCTAGCACGTAGGTGTTCTCTAGGGCTCCTCCTCTGTCCAGAGTTAAGCCTGTTGTCTCTGGGAAAGAGAAAAGTATCCTTAAAAGCCACAATAGGGATGACATGTGCCTTTCTAGGTTCAAGTAGTAGTTTTAGATTTAGGCAGAAATTTTGTTTTTATGTACCAACAGAAAATCTAAAGAAGCAAGAAATAAAAGTCATTTCCCTCACTAAAGATATATTAAGGGCCAAAGCTTTGTTCTAAATTGATTGCTATGTCTAATGACTATTCTGAAAAGAAAAACAAAACCCTGGACAATCTTAAAGCTGAAAACCACAACTGCATGGGATTCAGAAATTTCACCTTTAAGCCTTTTAAGATTAACCCTTCCAAGTTAGAAGGCTTCCCTAGCTATGCATAGCTATAGGAGGGGTGGCAGAACGCAGTTTTCACTTGCTTAACAATAGGGTTTCCAACATCCGTTGGAGGAAACATGGCTTCAGGTGGGTGCCTTCAAAAAAAAAAAAAGGAAACTATAGGTCAAAGTTTTGTTTTTAATTAAAAAAAAAAAAAAAAAAGACCTCCCACTCCTAAGTTGTGTGCTTTCTTTTTTGACCTACTTTTCCTTTAAATGGTCTGCAGTTTCCCTATATTTTTCCTAGTGCAGTAAACAATGCAATCTTTAGAAATAAAAACCAGGGTCCACTCTTGCCCCAAACACTGAAGATGGTCAAAGAGAAAGAATCACAGCACAGAAAATGGGCCCAGCTCCAAATATACAAAAACATTTAAAAAAGAACAAAACAAAATACCCCCTCCCCACCCAAAGACATTATGATTACATTCCTGGTACACTTCCTATAATATAATGTTGCAGACAACGCTTCTTTCCCAGGGAGTCCAGCTCGCTCAGGAGGAGACATCTATTTGATAGACTGGGGTGCTGAGTCCTCCCTGCCAAACCTAAGGGTCTTTTATGAGCTCAATATCTCACAGAAACATCTGTGGTATAAATGGTATAAATGAATCTAAAAGGGGATGAAGGCAGGCAGCCACCTGTCACTGTTCTCTGAATCAGCCAAAAAGCTGAAGAGCGTGGGATCCAGGAGACAGATGCCATTAACCATTGAGGGATAGAGGGGAAAACAAGAGGAAGCACCAAAGAAGTGGCTGCTTTTGGTTCCAAAGTCAAGAAAGGGCCCCGCAAAAAAGGGCAGTTGGTCTGGAAGAGGAACTCTCCTGCTCCTGGAGTCATGCAATAAAAATGATGGCCTTGGAGCCCCACCCCGCGAACAGCCACAGTCTAAGGACCAGAGCGATTTTATACCACATCACACAGTTTGCAAATGAATGGACTAGGAGGGTAAGTGCTTTGACAGAGCAGGCTGCAAGGTAAGCCTGAGTCCCAAAGCACAGCTATGACATCTCTGGATTCTTATCTCTGCCAAGCTGCAGGTCCCTGACGCCACCTACTTGATGAAAATGTACCCTTCCGCTTAACACTGGCATTGCCTCAAAATGGCACCCATGGTGGTAACCCTCAGAGATAACAAGAGGCATCAGTTGCACTTCTGGAAGTAAGATAATTTCCTTGCCCCATCTTGGCCAAAGCACTTCCCTTTTTAAGCTTCTGCTAGTCTGTTACCTCCCCCTCGAAGCAGAGTTCAACTCACTTTTGTTTGGGGGTTTTGCACTGGCCTCTGAGGGCTTGTTCCAGGATACAAAATTAAGTATACTTTTGCATCCATGTGTGAGTGGGTTGCCTTCCAGGGTCAGATCTGTGTTCCCTGGTTTGGTCAATGCACCTTTATGAGACTAAAACCACATGTGTGCACAGAGAGACTAGCCTGGAAAGTGACTTCTGGATAGGGTTTCGGGTTATCTTGATGCCTCCCCTCAAAGAAATAACTCTCTTGATGTAAGATGGTTAGGACATTGAATGACCTACTCTCAACTTCCAGAAGGGCACCTTGTTTTGTCCATTTTTCAGTGAGGGGCTGGAAGGGACCCAATATGTTCAGTTACAACAATCAGATCTTGTTTCTTAAAAAAAAGGATCCTATGTGGAAATGAGTGGGACAATGATAAAAATAAACAAATAATTAAAATTCCAAACCAAAACGTATCTCCTGGCCCCGAGATCCCCAGTTAATCCTCTAAGACCACGATTTCCACATTGTGGACTTGATGCTGGTGTTCCTCCATCTCAGCCACGACTTTCTCCTCAGTCCTCAGTTCGGTCTCCAAAATGACTGCTTTGCCCTCAGCATCCTCAGCCTCTGGGTCTGGGGCTGGGTCAATCTCAATGATGGTCTGCCCATCCTCTGAGGTGCTTTCAACCGCCTGGATGGCCGAGGTTAGGCCAGACTCCATGGCCACCAGCTCCACAGGGCTCACCATGGTGGTCATGTTGCCCAGGGTACTGCCATCCTGCATGGCAGTGGAGCTTAGCAGCGCCAAGCTAGACGAAGGGTGGATGGTCACTGTGTCTGGTGAGCTGCTCTTGGCTGAGGAGACCACTGTGGCATAACGGAAGAGCTGAGGGCCAGAAGGCAGTGTGTGGACAGTCACAGGACTGGAGCCCTGGCTGAGGGTGGCCACTGGAATATTGCCCATGGAAAATGACTGACCCACTGGCGTGATGGTGATGGGTGAGATGACTGTGAACTGAGGCTGATGGACAGGAGGAGAAGGGCTCAGGACGGTGGTGGAGGCTGGCCGCTGGAGCCGGGGCCTTTTGGGAGGCTTAGGAGTGCTCACAGGCATCAGTACCACATTTTGAACTGTCTGGGATTTCAGCCTGTGATCCTGGGCTTGCTTCTTCTGTTCTTCCAACTGGCGTTCCAAGTCTATGGAAAAAAGACAGACTTTGGGTAGAGAGAAGCATAATCCTGGGAACAGTAAACTAGGAGTGAGGAGACCTGGGGTCTTGTCCTGGTTTTGCTAGCGTATTTAGCCTCAGGAAAGTCATGTCATCGTTTTCAAGAAGGAACTAGACTGGGTGATCTTTACAACTCCACCAGTTATTGTATTTCATTGTGTGATTATAGGCAAGGTGATAATTCAGAATCTTGCCATATTGCAATCCTGCTATAGCTCAACTCTAGAAGCTCCTGTGGCATTTTGTCACCTGTCACTAAAATGTAAACCAAAGAAGTCTCCATTGGTCTAGCAGCTTATATATGCCCTGCCTACAGATGAAAATAATATCTGTACAATCCCTTTGCAGTTGCGATGGACCTACAAAGAAGCTACAATGGCCACTCTGAAAAACAGTGATTTCCAAACTGTCCTTCAAGGCAGGATCACTTGCTGGTGACCCAGATGGCTTTAATCTACCATTAGCTCCAGAGAAATCTACAGAAAGTTACAGAGGAAGTCCCTAAGAATTACAAAACTGAAGGAGGTCTTAGAGTTCTAACACATTCATTTGATAGAGATCCAGAGAAGTAAAGCTATTTATTTAAGATCACAGAGCTTGGGCCAAAACAAAAGTCTTCTGATAGTCAATTTGGTGGCTTTCCCACCCCAATACACCTATCACTATCCCTCTCCCAAGGGTCTAATCCAACCTTGATGACTACTGGTGAGTCTGGTTCTACACCAGAACTTCTCTGCTGCTTACTTAGCACCTGATAAACATCCAATAAATAACCAGTTACACTTCAAGAGCACTATTCTTCCTGTGCAACACCAAAAGTAAGTCAATTCCTTGCTTGGAATAAGAGTGTGTATGTGCATGCATGCTAAGTCGCTAAGTTGTAGGGATAAAGAACATAGTCAAAAATTTTACAATGCTGCCTTTTTGAGGTTATAAGATACTACATTTTTTTTTCCATCTTCGGTGGTAATCAAAGAAACGTGAACCTAAACAAGATATCAATTAAACCTATAGTTTTAAAAAAGTTAAATCAGAGTGTATTATAAAAAACAACACCCAAAGTTGGGAGCTCAAACTTGTGACCTAAATTGGTATAATCTACTCGGAAATTTGACAATAGGTCACAAAACTCCATAAACAAATATCAGTACCATTTAGCCTTAAGCTTAGTCCTGTGAAGTAGTTTATTTCTTTATTTTTTGGGGGCCTCATGGTTTACAGGATCTCAGTTCCCCAACCAGGGATTGAACCTGGGTCACAGCATTGAAAGCCTAGAATCCTAACCACTAGGCCACCAGGGAACTTCCATGAAGTAGTTTAAAAGGACATAAGAAGAAATGTTATATTCATACAAGTTCACTGCAATAAATAAGCCTTTGAAGAAACTTTTGAAAATTTAATTCATCCCTAGAAAAATGTCTAGGTAAAATACTATGTAGCAACTTGAAAAAATAGAAGTGTATCATAGTGAAAAAAGCAGAAAACACAACTTTATGTATACTGTGGTTATAACTAAAATATATGGGCAAGAAACCAGAAGCCTACATTTCTAACAAAAGCCATTTTTCAGACTGTTCTACCAGTCTGAAAGAAGACAGTTCTACCCTGGGCTTCACTATCAAGAAGGGATATGATCCCAGCAAATCATTTATTCTCTCTGTGCCTTTACTGAGCTATCTGTAAAATCAGGATAACAGCCTATAATATTCCTAGGAAGATGAAATGAAAAAGGGGATCTCTGAGAATACTTGGTAAACTGAATTTAAAATATAAATTGGGCATAAAAATAAGTTTAAAACAACCTAAATTGTTCTTCTCTTACCAAATGATCTTTCTTGCCTTTTGTCTTCCCACTGACTATATTCTACATCATCTAAGATTGTAATCTATACCTCTAACTTGCTTTGTTCCTTACTTCCTCTGAAAGCTTCTCAAGATTTTTCTCTGGATATAAATGATAATTCCCCTTGTTCTACCACCATACCTTCCATATGCTTCTGTTAGAGAACTACTGTTTGGACGTATTTCTAAGTCTGCTTTCCGCTGAGTTCCTTGAAAGCCCTCAAGAGACTGAGATTACCTTATTCAACATTATATTCCTAAAATCTAGCTTGGAGACCAGCACAAAGCATTGGGTTGGCCAAAAAATTTGTTCAGGTTTTTCCATAAGATCATACAGAAAAACCCAAATGAACTTTTTGACCAACCCAATACTTATTAAAAAGGGTTAAGTTATACATATGCTCATAATTTCTGATTACCAAAAATAAGGGAAGTGTAAAATGTGTATCTACCAACCAACTCAGTATTAATAATGTAAAAAAGACAAAGGTCAGCTTTATTCTCCTGCCACTTATATTACTGGGCTAATGAACAATCTAGCAGACATCTTAATCCTTCAAAGATATAAAAAGAGGATCATATTGCTAGTTTTCCTTTCTTTCTTTTTGTGCTTCCTCTGCCTGAGGTGACTCCACCTCACAGGGGACTGTACAGAGGAAAAGCCAAATCTGATACAATGTGAACTGAAAGAAAGAGAGACAGAGAAGGAAGAAAACAGAAAGAGCAGGAGCAAAGGAGGAAGGGAGGAAAAGAAGAATGGAAAGAAAGGAGGAAGGAAGAAGCCAGTCCAGTCCCAACAGAAGATAACAAAGAAATGGCAAGACTCAAGGATGTCAGTATATCACCAAAGAAAAGAGAGAAGCTATACATACCTGTGAGAGTATAGAGAAACTGCTCTTCTCCCTGTTCTACTTGGCTCTTCCTATTGTCCAAAACCTTCTTGACTGTGTCCATTAGGCCAAATGTATGTGCTACATTATTAAGAACAGCAGCATCTATTTAAAACAAAATATGTCTGTCCAGTTACAACAGAAATGTTCCACAAACTCCCTACTATGCTGCTGATAAATATCAAACAATTCAGAAATTAGAATACTAATTGCATTTTCAAAAAAATTTAACAAAGATTTATCACGGGACATCCCTGGTGGTCCCGTGGCTGGGAACTCTGCACTCCCATTGCAGGGGGGCCTGGGTTTGATCCTTGCCCCAGATGCCTCAACTAAGACCTGGTGCAGCCAAAGAAATCAATAAAAATAAACAAATATTAAGTAAAAAAGATTTATCACATGTGTAACTAATTTTTATGTAATTGTTATATCTTTATACATCTCTCCATATAAATAAATACAAAAATAAGGAAAAAATCTTGCATCTGGTTATAGGTTCTGACTTGGTTTACGAAAATGTGGTCATTCTGGACTTTCCTGGCAGTCCAGTGGTTAAGACTCTGCCTTCCAATGCAGAGGGCACAGGTTTGATCCCTGGCCAGGGAACTAAGATCCCACATGCTGTGTGGTATGGCAAAAAAAAGAAAGAAAAAGAAAACGTGGTCATCTACTAGACAGAGCTAAATTTGAATCTTGGTTTTGATGTTTCCTATCTGTGTGACCTTGGGTAAGTCATTTCACTCCTCAGTTTTTTTCATCTGAAACAAATGGGACTAATAATACTTACTCAGCAAGATAGATATGAAGATTAGAAATATATGCTAAATGCCAAACATGGGCATTTATTATTATTAATAGTATTATCTCTATTCCCCTTTAAACAATGCTTCTTGAAAGAGCTGTTACTAGCTGAGCTGTTATTAACTCAGACCACTTCTCTACCTACAGCTCTCTTCCACAGTCATCTCATCCAGTTTCATCAGTTTAGTTCAATTCAGTCGCTCAGTTGTGTCTGACTCTTTGCAACCCCATGGACCGCAGCACACCAGGCTTCCCTGTCCATCACCAACTCCCAGAGCTTGCTCAGACTCATATCCATTGAGTCGGTGATGCCATCCAACCATCTCATCCTCTGTCGTCCCCTTCTCCTCCTGTCTTCAATCTTTCCCAACATCAGTGTCTTTTCCAGTGAGTCAGTTCTTCACATCAGGTGGCCAAAGTATTGGAGCTTCAGCATCAGTCCTTCCAATGAATATTCAGGACTGATCTCCTTTAGGATGGACTGGTTTGATCTCCTTGCAGTCCAAGGGACTCTCAAGAGTCTTCTCCAACACCGCAGAGCAAAAGCATCAATTTTTCAGCACTCCGCTTTCTTTATGGCCCACCTCTCACATCCAGACGTGACCACTGGAGAAACCACAGCTTTGACTAGACGGACCTCTGCTGGCACAGTAACGTCTCTGCTTTTTAATAGGCTGTGTAGGTTGGCCACAGCTTCTCTTCCAAGGAGCAAGTGTCTTTTCATTTCATGGCTGCAGTCAGCATCTGCAGTGATTTTGGAGCCCAAGAAAAGAAAGTCTGTCACTGCTTCCATTGTTTCCCCATCTATTTGCCATGAAGTGATGGAAAGGGATGCCAGGAGCTTAGTACTTTGAATACTGAGTTTTAAGCCAGCTTTTTCACTCACCTCTTTCGTTTTCATTAAGAGGCTCTTTAGTTCCTCTTCACTTTCTGCCATAAGGGTGGTGTCATCTGCATATCTGCAGTTGTTGATATTTCTCCTGGCAATCTTGATTCCAGCTTATGCTTCATCAGGTCGGCATTTTGCATGATGTATTCTGCATGTAAGTTAATAAGCAGGGTGACAATATACAGCCTTGATGTATTCCTTTCCCGATTTGGAACCTGTCTGTTGTTCCATGTCCAATTCTAACTGTTGTTTTTTGACCTGCATACAGGTTTCTCAGGAGGCAGGTCAGGTGGTCTGGTATTTTCATCTCTTGAAGAATTTTCAACAGTTTGTTGTGATCCACACAGTCAAAGGCTTTAGCATAGTCAATGAAGCAGAAGTAGATGTTTTTCTGGAATTCTCTTGCTTTTTCTATGATTCAACGGGTGTTGGCAGTTTGATCTCTGGTTCTAAATCCAGCTTGAGTTTCTGGAAGTTCTCAGTTCACATACTGTTGAAGCCTAGCTTGGAGAATTATGAGCATTACTTTGCTAGCGTGTGAGATGAGTGCAATTGTGAGGTAGTTTGAACATTCTTTGGCATTGCCTTTCTTTGGGATTAGAATGAAAACTGACCTTTTCCAGTCCTGTGGCCACTGCTGAGTTTTCCAAATTTGCTGGCATATTGTGTCCCATTTCATACTTTTAAGTATCACAGACATGCTAAGAACTCCCACATGTAGATCTCCAGTCCAGACCTCTTTCCTACATTACAGATTCATACTTCTGTTTAGTCAAGTGACATCTCCGTTTGAAGGCCTCATAAGCATCTCAATTTAAAAGTCAAAAGTCAATTTTGATTTCCTACCCCAGCAGTCTTCATCTCAAGAAATTTTGCCACCACTCACAGTTCAGATCAAAAATATATGAGTCATCCTGGATTTCTTTTTCGCCTGACATCTAATCCACCAGCAAGACCTGTCAGTTCCACGTTCAAAACACATCCCCAGTACGACCATTTCTTCCCAAGTCTACCACTGCCCATTTAATACACTACCACCATCTCTTGCCTGAACTAACTCCTTCAAGAGTCTTCCAACTAGTCTTCTTTTTTGAACTATTTATTTGGCTGCGCTGGGTCTCAGTTGCAGTATGCAGGATCTTCAGTTGCAGCATTCAAACTCTTAGTTGCAGCATGTGGGATCTAGTTTCCTGACCAAGGATCGAACCTAGGCCCCCTGCATTAGGAGATCACAGTCTTAGTCATTGGACCACCTGGGAAGTCCTCCAACTGGTCTTCTTGTTTCTACTCTTGCCCCATATAATCTATTCTCCCCACAGCAACCACAGTGATCTTTTAAAAATAAAATAAACCTGATCATTTTACTTTCCTACTCAAAATCACTATGATGGCTTAACATCACCTTAAAATAAAACCCAAAGTTTTATCTTTGGGTTTTGTCTGACCAAAGCTTATCTAAAATAAGCTATGTCTCAAATAAGCTCTGTCCTCTGCTTCTGTCCAACTTCATCACCTATCACTCTTTCCATTAACTTAGTCCACTGGAGCCATGTCAGCACTCCTCTAATTCTTTGAATCCACTAGGTTCATTGTCACTTCAAGATCTTTGTACCCTCTGCTTGGAGTATTCCTTCTCCCAGCCTGTCACATGGCGAGCTCCTTCAATTCAGATTTCTACTCAAATGCCACCTGCTTAGAGGGGGCTTCTTTGACCACCCTGTCTAAAAGAATCACCTGTTTTTTATATTAGCTGCCTTTAAAAAAAAAAAAAAACTTCCAATCATAAAAAAAAAAAAGATTCTGCTATAAAGTTTAAGTGTACTTACATAATGTAAATACCAGGGGCTTCCCTGGCAGCTTAAATGGTAAAGAATCTGACTGCAATGCAGGAAACCCCGGTTTGATCCCTGGGTTAGGAAGATTCCCCTGGAGAAGGGAATAGCAACCCATTCCAGTATTCTTGCCTGGAGAATCCCATGGACAGAGGAGCCTGGAGGGCTACAGTCCATGGGGTCATAAAGAGTCGGACACGACTGAGCAACTAACACTTCCTTACTTCCTTACACACAATGTATGAGTCATAAGAAGGTACAACACACGCCTAACAAATCTAAGTAAGGCCTTACTCAACGTACAAGCTCGGAGACCTCAGCATGAGCCCTTTGGATCAAATGATTAAAGCATTCGTTTACATTGTGCATGACAGCAAGTACCCTGTAAGTATGCAGAAACACTTAAAAGTGTACACAGATCTGGGAGCCTTAAACTAACGGAATATGAGAACTGTCTAAAACAGGCAGATTTCTTCAATTTTCAGACTCTATATCTATTTATATCTATATCGAGAGAGAGAGAGAGAGATTGCTTTCTGACACCATTTACAAAGGTAAAAATTACCTGTGGAAAAAGCAATGACAAACCTGAGTTTAAAACCAAGGTATGCTAAAAACAGAACTACCACATATGATCCAGCAATCCCACTCTTGGGCATATATCAGGAAAAGATGAAAACTCCAGTTTGAAAAGATATATGAACTCCATTGTTTATAGCAGCAATTTACGATTTATAGTAATCAAGACATGGAAGCAACCTAAGTGTCCATTGGCAGATGAATGGATAAAGAAGATGTGGTATATATATTCAATGAACTATAACTTAGTCATAAGAAAAGAAGAAAATATTGCCATTTGCAGCAACATGGATGGACCTAGAGAATATCATACTAAGTGAAGCTCGTCAAAGACAAATATTATATAATATTACTTATATGTAGAGCCTAACAAAATAATACAAATGAGTTTATTTACAAGACAGAAACAAACTCACACACATAGAAAACATGTTTACAGTTACCATTTCCCCCATGGGAAGTGGGGGAGGGATAAAGTAAGAGTATGGGATTAACAGATACACACTACTACATATAAAATACATAAGCGATAATGATATACTGTATAGCACAGGGAACTATATTCAGTATCTTCCAATAACTTATAATGGAAAATAATCTAAATAAATACACACACACAAAACTGAATCATTTTGCTGTACACCTAAAACTAACACAATATTATAAATCAACTACATCTCAATTAAAAAAAACAATATTTTACAGCTAAAAAAAAAAGCTAGTTATGAACTTTGTTTAGTAACTTAATGTTTTATGACACTTAATTTCCTAAACTGTAAAATGAGGATAATAATACTCGTACCTCAGTGTTTCATGAGGCTAACAAGGTCTGCCTACAATTGTTACGATTTAATAAATGACCACTATTGTTAGGATTAGTGTGTTTACCTGTGACCTGGAAGGGAGCCTGGATGAGCCGCTGCTGAACTCCCCTAAGTAGCTCCTCTATTTCCTTCTGTATGTTGCAGACAACCTCTTCCATCAGTCCTACATCAGCTATTCCTTTCCAGAACATCAAAGTGTCCTCTGGTAAAAAGGATAAGACAGAAGGTAAGCTTCCCAGGTGGCTCAGTGGTAAAGAATCTGCCTGCAATGCAGGAGACGTGGGTTTGATCCCTGGGTCTGGAAGATCCCCTGGAGGAGGAAGTGGCAGCCCACTCCAGTATTCTTGCCTGGAAAACTCCATGGACAGAGGAGTCTGGTGGGTTATAGTTCATGGGGTTACAAAGAGTTGGACACAACTGAGCATACAAATAAGGGATGCTACATATGCTTAGGTACAGCTCTACAATGTTAAGTTCAAAAAAAATTTTTTTCCATGCTATGTGCCTTTGTGGGATCAGTTCCCTGACCAGGAATTGAACCCAGGCCCTTGCAGTGAAAGTCCAGAATACTAACCACTAGGCCACCAGAGGATTCCAATGATTTCTTATTCGAGCATTTCTGGAAGAAGAAAAGAAGCTTTTGGAACACCAGCTGCCTCCTTGAGTTGGTACATAGTTATTTGGACTCCAGGTAACTGTGATAATTACCTCACTGGGTAATTATCTGGCTACAGGGAATGGGTATCTTTCTTCAATAAAAGTATTAAATTAAATATTAAATAAATATTAAAACATTTACTTAAATAATTTAAAAGATAATAATACTGGAGTGGGTAGCCATTCCCATCTCCTGGGTTGGGAAGATTCCCTGGAGTAGGAAACAGCAACCCACTCCAGTATTCTTGCCTGGAGAATTCTACAAGAGAGGAGCCTGGCGGGCTACAGTCCATGGGGTTGTAGAGAGTCAGATGAGACTGAGTGACTAACACTTGCACTTTTCACTTTCAATATATAATATTTTAAAAGTTAAATAAATATATAAATTAAAGATATATGCCCTCTAATCCTATACTTAAAACACCAAAATAAAATAGTTGAATAGATGGGAGGTATAAGCTCCCTGAGGGCAGAGGCTATGTTTTTTCATCTTTCTATCTAGATTGAGCAAGAGCGCCAGCTAAAAACAGGCAGCAATAAACATTTGTTAAATGAATTAATGAACGACAATATAAAGCTTCTCCTGTCCCCTTTGAGTGAATCACCATTAATCATCATCTACACCACCTGCTAGCTAATTTTTTCTTCTAAAATCTGGCAGTTTGGTCTACCTGATGAATGTGCCAAAGGTGGAATCAGTGTGGCGGCATGAGAAGATGGACTCCAGAGTTGAACAGCTGAGCCCAGCTCTGACACCAGCTGTGTGACTGGTCTTGGGCAACGTACTAAACATTTCTGAATCTCAATTTCTTCATAGAATCTAACGTTGCAAGGCTGTTACATGGATTCAAATAAGATGTTTGCAGCTATAATTAGTACTAATATGCATAAGAAAAACCAGCACAAGTAATGAAAAGCCCTTGTGTCCATAATCATAATGGTGATAAGAGTTACAAAACCTTGCAAGAAATCTGGGCGCCACAGATAGTACCTGAAATTTCCTCTGAGTCTTTCTTCATGCCCTCCTCTGTGGCCATGGTGACAGCGGCAGTGAGAGCTGAGTTCCATTCCAGCCCTGCCTCTTCCATGCTCTCTTCTGAGATGGCAATCTGTGTGATGCTACCTAAGAGCAGTGCATTAAAGGGAAGGCCAGTGAATTTTATGAAAAAGTCACAGCTATCCTCTTTCTCAGACAGTCAAAGAGATCCTGTTATTTAACTTATGGACTTTTGCCTGAAGGTCCCTATATTAAAAACTAGAATCCTAGGTAAGCCAGGATGAATACTGGCTTTCCTAAAGAAAACCCGCCTTGCAGAAAATGCTTTCTTCTTACTCTGAATAGAAAGTGAAATATAACTTACAAAACCACAAAAGAGCAATCTGAGCAGTTATATTTTTGAAAGAGACAGAAGGTGGGCATAATTGCCAGGTTGTACCCAGACTTAGTGAGGATGAGGAGGACTTGAAATAATTGAAAAAGAAATATGGTGCTTAGTCAAGAGCCCTATTCCGAGTGTATTTGATACTAACCATCTAGAATATGTGGAGTTGCTATAACTTACTTATCAGCTGATGTAAGAGAAAGCAAGATAAATGAGACAAAAAAAAAAAATCAGATAAGAGATCCACGAGTAGCAGATTCACAGAGGAAAAACCTACTGCTATCAATTTAATATTAAGGTTTTAAACAAAGAGAATTGAGAAAAATCAACTGATCCAGACAGAAATATAAAATGTGGACTCTCCACTCTGAAGGATATCAGTAAACAAGCAAAATATCAACATGGATGATCAAGTAAAGAAGGTTCAGCAAAATAAAAAGAAAGTAGATAATTTCACAGCATTTTTCACTTCTCAAGTCAAAGTGTCACACCACCAAATATTCACATTGTTATATATTTTATACTTTCCTGAAAGAAACTCAGTGAGATCTGGCTTCTACTCACCCAGCAGTTAGGTTGGGAACAGAATATTAGGGTTGAGCAAAAGAAGCCTTGAGAAGTCATTTTTAAAGCATAGTACCTTCCTTACATTGCATTCTGTGTCTCTGTCAGGCATATTTTTAAGCCTCCTGGAAGCAGTTTAGACACATTCTAAGAATTTAGCTGCGCTAAGTTCCCAGCTCAACTAAGTCCTTAATAATAACCTCACATGGCTATATCTTTCCTAGAGAGCCCTCATTCCAAACTCAATAATACTGAAGTTAAGTGTGTGCATACCCTATCTCATTTGTGAAGATGTCTCAGCTTGTTTATCTGGATTCCTCCCAGACAGAGCTCTTTGACCCTTACGGCAGAGTCTCCAGAGTCCAGCCCCATCAATGACACACTGTCTTTGAGACATCTCAGTTCAAAAGCTGAAAACCACACACCTTCTAAATCCACCCGCCTGCCGTGACCATCAGAATTGCCAAGGACTTTCAAAACAATCTAATTTCAAAGATATACCAAGTGGCACTGGCACCAAAGTAATACCGTTAAATAGGCATTATATGAATCGCCTTTCTAACATTTACCGTGCATTGTAATACAGAAATAAGGAAGGAGGACTGGCCAATTAGGAATCATTCAGGAGAAAACAGAGTTCTTTCTAAAGTGTGGACTCCTACCCAAGATTACCATATCTTACATCAACACTCATGAGAATTAAAATTAAGAAACACAAAAAAGAATGAGGGGAAAAGTACTACTGAAAAACACAATGGGTTTTCAGGTGGTTTCCTACCCCCTACCATCGGCCGAAGTGGGTGTCTGCACCACACTTGTCTGCTGTCCTGGCACTGGCGCTCTTGCACTGCTGATTAGCAGATCAAATTTGGTGCTTCTGCAGGTATTGGAGCAAACCTTGTCATGTTGGTAAAAATCAATCTGTCCGGAGTCCATCATCTTCCTGTGCAAAGAGAGAGGAGAAGTACCAATTCAGCCTGTACTTCATCTACAGGGGGCAAACAGAGACAAAGTTGCAGAGTCCCATCTATGTATCAGTGAAACCTAATAGTATTAAAAGTCATTAGGTCGCAAAAATTCTAATTGGGGCAATAAAATGTTCATGGTCCTGCCCACGTGTACAAGTACTCCTCTTCCCTCCCTAGTCTACTCACTATGAGTACTCTCTTTTATTTCCCATTATCACTAAGTTTTAGACATATAATTGTGACATTAGCTAAATTTCCCCATAGAATCTCATTGAAACCAAACCCCAAAGGGGAAAGGCTAACTCATATCCCAGCACAACTGAGAAAAGGCACAGGCGGATTCAAATTTTGTGGTTAGATTCTGAAGTGTTAGTACTTGTAGACCAGCAAGATCTGTTGCCACTTCTGGAGACATAAAACTTCAGCACATTTCTTTCCTTTGAAAAAAAAAAAAAGAGATAACTCTCCTACAAATATAGAGCAAAGCTGATTACACTAAACCCCCACTATAAAATGTCCTTATAACTAGATTCACAAGACATTGTTATTATAGGCTATGAGCAAAACCATAGGATATTTTAATTACAGTAAACTCTATGTTGTAATGTTACTTGGCTTTCGCTAAAGATTTTTTAGGCACTCTGGGTCTTTTATATTTGGGAAGAGTTGGCATATGCTTGTTTTTCTCACCAAATAAAACAACCCAAGAACAACAACAACAAAAGTTAAAGGTATTCACCTCCAATTTCATTCAACTACTAATTAACACATACAAATGATCTGGAGTGAATTTTTCAAAATTATGCCTCTGACTATAAAGATAATACATGAAGAAAAAAAATAACATTTCCTCTGGAAAACATAGAAAACTATAAAGAAAACAATTGCTCCTTTAAAAAAAAAATCCCCCAACACAAAGATAATGTCAACATTTTGCTTATGTTCTTCCACTAAATTTACTTACATATATGTTTTTTAAAACAACTAAATTAATTGATAGTCCATTTTGTTTTCTTTTTTACATTACATTATAAGCAATTTTCCACATAAAAAGTCTTTAGGAATATTTTAATGTATAAACCCATATATATTTAGATGAGCCATAATTTACTTCAGATATACCTTGACTGTGTGTTAAAGCATACTGTAATTTTCACTATCCTGAATTATGTTGCAATAAACCCCATTATACTCGAATCTCTACAAGTACCATAGATTTTTCTTTAGACAGATTCCTTAAAAAATTGAAGACAAAGAGTAAGAAGCTTTTAAGGCTCTTGATACATGTTCTGTGGGGAACTTTTAATTCTTGACCACATTTTAAAATTTCCTATCAATAGGTGACTGCTACTGATAGAAAATAATGTTAATTTTATGGGTAGGGGATGAAATTATAATGATAAACTTGCTGCAAAAACAGACATGGTGAGGATATTATACATTCTAAAGTTAATTTCTGGGCTTCCCTGGAGGTCCAGTGGTTAAGAATTCACCTTGCAATGCAGGGGACACGGGTTCAATCCCTGGTCCCAGAAGACCCCACATGCTTCAGGGCAAATAAGTGCATGCAACACAACTACTGAGTCTGCACTCTAGAGCCCACGAGCCACAGCTAGTGAGCCCACATCTTGCAACTACCAAAACCTGCACACTATGGAGCCCATGCTCTGCAATGAGAAGCCTGTGCACCGAAACTAGAGAGTAGGCCCCACTCACTGCAACTAGCAAAAGCCCATGGCAGCAACAAAAACCCAGCACACAGCCACAAATAAATAAATAATTTTTTAAAAAACCATCTGCATTAAAAAAAATAGTTTATTTCTATGGCACAATGATGGCAAGGACTGCGTTCATTGTGCATAACTGTTTCTTACGAACAGCACCCTTCTACTTTACCAGATTATCCCAGAATTTGTCTGTCAGCCTACATCTCCATGGTAGCCACTCTTTCTTAGCATCAGGCTTAGCTCCACCTATGTTGAGTGATCTCAAGCAAGACTGTCATCTACTCCTGAGCTTCTCTGCCCAGAGAAGATACTACCCAGCATTGTGACATCACAAGAAATTGCCCTAGATGCTGGAAGAAGTCAATTTAATTCAATTTTCCTTCTCTCACAGGGATTTTAAGAACAAGTTGATAAAGGTCCAATAATACATGGATCGTTCAAGCCAATCCTTCAAACAGGATAAAAATTCAAGTTGGAGAGAAAAGACTGGATTCTCTGGATTCTACCATGATTAAGTACCCCACAGTCACTTGAAAGGTGTGAATTTGCTATTAGGGCTCACCTGAGCATGATTCCACCCAGACGAATAGCTCTCTTCCAGTCCTTCAGGGTGGATTTGCCAGCCAGATGAACAAAATGCTTGGGGCTGATCAACTGATCATTGAACTAATGTAAAAGGAAAAGTTCAAAATAATCCAATATTAATTTAGGCAAGCCATGAGGGAAAGAAAGACATAATTCTATTCATTACAAACAAAAAAATACCCAGATGACGTCTCTTATCAGAGCCTGTATTCTCTATCTTCCCACCCTATTGTGCTAGAGGAGATGATCCTTCTCTGGCCCTGTCCTGGTATTAATATACTGATTAGGATATAAAATCCATTTGTGTCCTGAATCAAGCAGAGGGTTTTGATGTTGCAAAGGCTATTAAAATAAACTGAAGTTATCTACCCAGCCCTGATGACAAGATTCAGGATCTGGTAGAAAGAAAAAGCATGGTAGAAACCAACAGCACTGCAGAGTCTCAAAATTCTGTAATCCTTAATGATTCCAGGATGATGCTACTGATGGTGACTACTATCTATGGGTACAGCTGTGGCAACCAGCAGAGACAGAATAAGCAATTATTTCCACATTGTGCTCTCATAAAGATTATTTTTATCAGTAATAATTTTGAAGAAACTGCCAAACTACACACTAGTCTAAGGCATTTTACATATACTATTTCACCTTCCAACAATCTTACTGTGTGTGTATGTACGTACAATTATTTGTATTTTAACATATGAAGCTCTGAAATATTACTTGACCAAGGTCACCTAACTAGTGATAGACTTCATTCATTCAACAAAATATTTACTGATAAATATTCAGAGCACTAGTCTAGGTGCTAGGGATACAACGGTGAATAAGACAGACAAATTCTCAGCTCTCAAAAGACTTGTATTCTGGTGGGACTTGAACCCAGGTCAGTATCACTCCAAAGTCCTTTTTTTTTTTTTCTTTTAAACTGTGACACAAAGGGACACCACAAAATTAAGAACACTGAAATGGCGGGAAAAAAGAGGTTCTAAAACCATACCCTTTGAAAACAAGGAGCCCCAAAATAGACCCTGGCAAGGAAAAAAGACAATTACCTTGACACACTTTACATTTATTCCTGGACATACAAACTTCTTCCAAAGGAGAATGGCTTTGCTCTCCCCACAAGTTATGGGGTAAGCAATTTCCATATCCTCATTTGCTTCTATAGTGCTTGCATCTTGCAAATGGAAAAAATATCAGTTATTTATCAAACACTCTTCTTTAAAGTTTAACTCAACATCTCTAGTCTCCTGGTTTCTCTGAGGGGCTAAGAGTTCACACTGATTTGTATTGTTTAGGAATCTTCTGGAAGAAATTTGGTGTAACAGCTCTCTTACCAAGATCCCACTATGTGCCAGACACTGTGCCTTGTGTTTTTACAGGTTCAATCTTTTTTAATTCTTAAAACAATCCTGTGAGGCAGTCACGGTTTCCTATGTACCTGTATGGGACTCAGAAAGGTGAAGGGATTTTCCCAAGGTCATACAGCTCAGTGAGAATGTGGGATTCAAACTCCAAGTTTAACTAATTTCAGAGTTCCTCTTCAGTTTCTTTCCACTGACTGCCTTCCAATCAGCACCTCATCAGCAACTTCCCTAATGACAGAGATCAACCTTGAGACTCCAACTACTTTGACCAATTTCTACTGATGAGAAATCTTTTCAGTAACCCTAGCAAACTAATGTTAAACATCAACTGATAGCCCTAGCATCTTAGCAGTGTCTCTCAATGTACTATCATCAAATTGATAGCTACAGCACTGGTAGAGCACATTGGGTAGTGAGGTGTGGGGGGACGGGAGGGGGAAATCAGGTACAAAAAGCAAGAAATCTCAACCAAGGAGGCTAAGGTTAAAAGTACTAACCCTGGGGGTCCAGTGGTTACAACTTTGCGCTTCCACTGCAGAGGGCTTCCAATGCCTCCAAGTGAGGTTAAAAAAAAAAAAGGTACTAGAACAACAAAATGACTTACCAATCCCTTCTTCAATTTTGTGTATTGTGTGAGTTTCTACTGCTACAACTGCCGTATTGTTCTCAGAGCCAGCTTCATAAATCCTGTTGTAAAAGTATCCACAATAAACTACATAAATCATGACAAAATTAATATTCACAGCACAGGATTAAGAAATTTGTTTTAATCTATCTCAAAAGGAATAAAATAATATACTTTACAACTTGATGTTAGTGTTCTGACTTAAGCCCCAATGTATCTAAATTCCAGGCTGCCCAAGACTGCTTAGCAGCTACTATCATGGAAATGAATCAACAACTTTCCTCATCCCAGAGGAAAAGTTTCTCTTGCTACTCTATTTACACTGCTACTTATAAAATACCTGTGTTTTACACCAGACTTATCCCTTCCTAACTTTAAAAGTTCATGACATAAAAGTGTTGCTTCACTTGAAACATATTATAGAATTATCCAAACATGACTAAAAAGTAATACCTTTAGACAATTCAAACCAGGAAGAACTTACTGACTACAGAAGCTGATGTCCCTTGTTGGAATCTAGGCACTTTAGCCATTTTTACACTTTAGCATTTTTTAAGGCATCATAATCAAACTACAGACATGAGCAGAGCCTAGTTTTTTTAAAAAAGAGACAGAGCAATTATGCCCAAAGTAACTAGCAGTAATGAGAGGTACCACTTAAGGAAAACTCTCTCTCCAAAATGTTTCTGCCTCCTAAGAAATGGGCTCAGATAACCTGACATGAACACTGACATCCTTTGTTTAATTTCCACAATAAGCCTACCATGCTATTTACTGCACTAGCTATCCTAAAGCACTGCCTAACAATCTCCTCTGCATCAGTGATTTCCCTCCCCGACGGTGACACCTTTAGCACAGACCTCCCTTCTGAATTCCACAGCAGGACACAATTAAACTGCTAAATAAACAAATACATTTGAATATCCCATAGGACTTGATTGAATTATGTCTAAAATAACCAAGTTCTCTTTCCTCTCCCACCTCCCAAGCTTCTCTTCTTCCTATATTTCCCATCCTTGTTAATGGCACTACTCAGCACACAGTAGCCTAAAACAGAAGCTTGGAAATTACACTAAATTTCTCCCTTTTCATCCTCCTCAACTCCCACACAGCCAGTCACCAAGTTCTGCCAGATACACCTCCTTAACACCAGCCACCCTCCCTGTCTATTTCCACTGCTACTGCCTTAACTCAGGCTGCAACATGTTTAGTCTGAACCGGTCTCCTCACATCAACCTGATCTTCTATATTCCTTCCAGAATGGTCAGGTAACACTCTCCACAAAACCCTGCAAGAACCTCCTCCTTGCTGCTGAAATAAAGCCCCAAATACTTAATATGATATGTAAGTCCCTCCATGATCTGGTCCTCTGGTTTCAGTTCTCACCAAACCCCACCAGACAACCCAAGCCCCAATTGTACCAAACTGCCATCTTCTTTTATCCCTTCTGTTCTTGCTCTTCTTCCTCTTTCCAGAACATCTTTCCCCATCTTTTGTTTTTTAATCAGCAGCCTGTATGGTGCTTTTCCTTCCATCTCAGTCCTCCGGTATAATCACCCAATTCTCCTCTGTGACCCAACTGTACTTTAGGCTTTTGCCACAACAACTATAATACCTAATACTATTTACTTATTTACCTTTCTTCCTCTCCTTGGGCATAATCTAAGAGGTCCCTGAGAGGCCTAGTGGTTAGGATTCTGAGTTTCACTGCTGTGGCCTAGATTCAATCCCTAGCTGGAGAGCTAAGATCCCACTGTGCAGCACAGACCAAAAAAAAAAAACCACACCTCTACTTCAAGTAAATTTAGTAAGCTCATTCTAACTTAACCAGTATTTACAAAATCCTTTAAAATAATAGATTCTTGTCTATACATAATTTCAACAACCAGTAAATTGCACTTGGGAAGTTGGGGCATAGTCTACATTTTTACAGGCAAATAAGATTTTATCAGGGAAAATGTTTCTAAAGCAACTCGTAACAGTGATGGATTTAGCTTAGTTCTCTATACTTAATAAAACTATAGTCAAAAATCAGAAAATATGTTTAAAATGTTAAGGATTTATAAGATACCAATATGCCTTCTGAATCATCAAAGTAAGGCAAAATTAGGTTTACTAGAGCTTTTTTTAATAATCAACCCAAAACTTTATTATGATTGTTGCTGTTCCTTTATTAATTCACAAACATTCTTTGAGAACACATGATATACTAAATCCTTTTCCCAAGAACACAGAAGCTTACAGCCTAAATTGAAGTATAAAACATGCACACAGATTATTATGCTACAAATAATAAGTGGTAATTATGGATCAGTGAAGTACAAGTCAGTTACTATTAGCATTTACAATGACTGTGATGTTAACTTCACTAACAGTATAATGTGTGCATATAAATACATATAAATAGTATAATATATAGTACGTATGTATACACAGTACTCTTGTATACATGTACAAAAGTTTTAAAGTTAAGTCCACATTATTGTATTCTAAGTCACTGAAAACTGAAAATCTATATACGGGGTTGTTTTTTTTTATCTTGAATGTTAAGGAAAGCTATTCTGATTTATTGAACGTGGGATTCTTTTACATAAACTAAGGGGTACCCTACTGATCTGAGTTTATACATATTCCTAACACTTTAAACCTCCTACTAGGGAGGGATATGAGCATAAGGAAAGTAAGGTCACTATTCCTCAAATTGAACTATTCTACTCAGCACACTGAGTAAAATTATGTAGTATTAAAATCACCAGTCCATGATCTCATTGTTAAAAACTCTTATGAATCCAAAATGAATTGGAAAGTCAAGAATGTAATGGAATCTTAGTACTTTCATTCCTCCTGAGAATTTCCAAAGTATGTTTAAAGGTTTTATTTGAAAAAGTTAATAACCATCTTTTTTGTTTTTAAAAAGAAAGCATACACTGAACAAGTCATCTTTGTTGGAAAAACTCCCAGAATAAAAAATCTTCTTAATATCTTAGTACTTGAGTACCTAGTATCTCTATTTTCTTAAAAAGTTGAATGTGGATATATTTTAACTTAGTATCATTATGAAAGTATCATCTTATACAATGTATCAGGTTCTATGTATTCATATAAAGAAACTGTTACCAAATACTCTACTTTTGCTTCATATGCATCCCTGAAAATGTGTATATGGTGAATATTTGGGAAAGTATAAAATGTCATATATGTAAAAAAAATTAAAATGATGGGCAAAAGGAATTACATATTGAAATCTAACAATACTTATATAAAATCTCTATTTCTTGCCTCTTGAATACCAGCCAGCCAGTTAGTTCAGTCGCTCAGTCACATCCAACTCTTTGCGACTCCATGGACTGCAGCATGCCAGGCTTCCCTGTCCATCACCAACTCCCAGAGCTTATTCAAACTCACATCCATCGAGTTGGTGATGCCATTCAACTATCTCATCCTCTGTTGCCCCCTTCTCCTCCTGCCTTCAATCTTTCCCAGCATCAGAGTCTTTCCAAATGAGTCAGTTCTTTGCATCAGGTGGCCAAATTGGAGTTTTAGCTTCAGCTCAGTCCTTCCAATGAATATTCTGGATTCACTTCCTTTAGGATGGACTGGTTGGATCTCCTTGCAGTCCAAGGGACTCTTCAAGAGTCTTCTCCAACACTACAGTTCAAAAGCATCAATTCTTCGGTGCTCAGCTTTCTTTATAGTCCAACTCTCACATCTTTTGAATATAATCTTTACCAATTTATTCCTAACAATTTATGCATACCCTTTGATTGTTTATTTCCTTCACACTTGAATTATAGCCCATCAGGTGAAGTGTGATGAGGCTGAACACTGACACCTGATAATTTTCATCTTTGTCTCAAGTGTATTAAAATTATGAGACCTATATATCTCATCACTAGAATCACTGTTTTTGTACCCTGCTCATTTTTACAAAATGAGGCTAAAATGCAATAAAATATTAAAATAATTTAATAATACAACAAACACCTCAAAATGCAATAGCTCAAAAAAAAAAAAAAAGGCAATACCTCAAAATGTTTATTCACTAGCTCATGCATTAAAATTCACTGTAGACAGTGGATTGGGAAGTCAATATATGTTGGACAAAGGTGCCTCTACCTAATCAAGCAATGCCAAGTATCCACAAAAGACAGTATCATTTGGAAAATAAAAGAGACAAACAGAAAATTAAGTGGAACCAAATCTTCAAAAGAATTAAGTCTCGAAGTAGCATAGAATTTTTTTCTGTCTCCACTGTGGATAGGACAAATGACAACTGGAGTGCTTTAGGAAAGACAGAAGAGCCTGCCCCCTAATCCTTCCTGATGTTACCACACCTCAAAATGTAATGACTACAAGTATGTGTGTGTGTGTCAAAATAAAATCCCCAAATGAGTTTGAATAAGCATGCATAATCTGTTGGTGCCAACAAAAATTTAAGCCACTCTATAGACTATATGTTAGACATTATTTATATCAACTTTCCTTAATAGACCTTAGAATATCTCCTTTATGCTTAATAATATTTAGAAATGTCAGATTTCCCTCATGGCCTAGTGGTTAAGAATCTACCTGCCAATGCAGGGGACATGGGTTTGATCCATAGTCCAGGAGGATTCCACATGCCATGGGGCAACTGAGCCCATGTGCTGCACTACTGAAGCCCAAGAACCTAGAGCCCAGCCAGAGAAGACACTGCAGTGAGAAGCCCATACACCACAACTAGAGAGTAGCCTCTGATCACCACAACTAGAGAAAGTCCACGCACAGCAAAAAAGACCCAGCACAGTCCATAAATAAAATTTATTAAAAAAGAAAGAAATGTCAGAAGACTATGGTTATGTTTTTAAAACTAATAAGAAAGTGTCCTTATCTTTTACAGATACATACAAATCTCTGGGATTTGCTTCAAAAAAAATTCAGGAGTGGGCAGATGTAGAGATGAAATCAGACTGGCCATGTGTTGACAATCGCTAAAGCTGGGTGATGGATGCTTACATGGGAGTTCATTATCATATTTTCTTTATTTGGAGGTATATTTGAAATTTCCTGTAATAAAAAGCTTTTTAAATTACCAAGACAGGTTAATAGTTTAACAGTTTTTCCCTAGAAGTTTTTAAGGCAAGGTACACGACTTAGTAGACTGGGATTAGATTACTGTCCTTCCTTAGTATTGTGGGGAGATTGGTTCCAGAAAACCCCTGAAAACACCAAAATCCACAGATATGCAAGTCTCTTATAAAATGGCATAGTATTTGCATATAATCTACACACATCCTCCCATATACTTAAATCAGCTACTGCATAAATGAGATGATTAAAAATTAATGAATGATTAAAACTAATGATTAAAAAAACTGTTAGCCTATTAGCCTATCTTGGTAATTTAAAAGGCTTTTTATTATAGGAAGTTTCAAAAATACCTCCAAATAAAGAAAATATGATGATGAACCACCATGTAAGCATCCATCACCCAGCTTCAACAATTATCAACACATGGCCAGTCTGATTTCACATCTACATCTGCCCACTCCTGAATTTTTTTTGAAGCAAATCCCAGACATTTGTATGTATCTGTAAAAGATAAGGACTCTTTCTTATTTGTTTTAAAACTATAACCACAGTTTTCTGACATTTCTTTCTTTTTTAATAATTTTTACTTATTACTATGCTGGGTCTTTTTTGCTGTGCGTGGACTTTCTCTAGTTGTGATCAGAGGCTACTCTCTAGTTGTGATGCCTGGGCTTCTCACTGCGGTGTCTTCCAAACTGTGAAAGGAGTACATCAAGGCTTATTTAACTTATATGCAGAGTACGTCATGTGAAATGCCAGGCTGGATAAAGCACAAGCTGGAATCAAGACTGCAGGGAGAAATATCAATAACTTCAGATACGCAGATGACACTACCCTTATGAAAGAAAGCAAAAAAGAGGTAAAGAGATTCTTTTTTTTTTTAAGAGATTCTTTTTTGAAAGTGAAAGAGGAGAGTGAAAAAGTTGGCTTAAAATTCAACATTCAGAAAACTAAGATCATGTCACCCGGTCCTATCACTTCATTTCAAATAGATGAGAAAACAATGGAAACAGTGACAGACTATTTTCCTGGGCTCCAAAATCACTGCAGATGGTGACTGCAGCCATGAAATTAAAAGATGCTTACTCCTTGGAAGAAAAGCTATGACCAACCTAGACAGCATATTAAAAAGCAGAGACATTACTTTGCCAACAAAGGCCCGTCTAGTCAAAGCTATGGTTTTTACAGTAGTTATATATGGATGTGAGAGTTGGACTATAAAGAAAGCTGAATGTCAAATAATTGATGCTTTTGAACTGTAGTGTTGGAGAAGACTCTTGGAAGTCCCTTGGATGCAAGGAGATCCAACCAGTCCATCCTAAAGGAAGTCAGTTCTGAATATTCACTAGAACTGATGTTGAAGCTGAAACTTCAACACCTGAAACTATGGCCATCTGATGCGAAGAACTGACTCACTGGAAAAGACCCTGATGCTGGGAAAGATTGAAGGCAGGAGGAGAAGGGGACGACAGAGGATGAGATGGTTGGATGGCATCACCAACTCAAGAGACATGAGTTTGAGCAAGCTCTGGGAGTTGGTGATGGACAGGGAAACCTGGCATGCTATACAGTCCATGGGGTTGCAAAGATTTGGACACGACTGAGTGACTGAACTGAACTGAAGATTACTTGTAATATCTAATATAATATAAATGCTTGTAAATAGTCTCCTGTATGTGGCAAATTCAATTTTGCTTTTTGGAACTTTCTGGAATTTTTTTTCCATCCAAGGTTGGTTGAATCTGAGGATGTGGAACCTATAGATACAGAGGGCCAATTGTGTGTTTGTCTAGTGAAAGTTGCTCAGTTGTATCTGACTCTTTGCCACCCCATGGACTGTAGCTTACCAGGCTCCTCATCCATGGAAATCTCCAAGCAAAAATACTGGAGTGGGTAGACGGTCCTTTCTCTCAGGGATCTTTCCAACCCAGGGATAGAACCCAGGTCTCCCACATTGCAGGTGAATTCTTTACCATCTGAGCCACTAGGGAAGCCCATAGAACACTTCTGATCCTTAATAAACAGTTAGCCCCCTCTTCTCTCTGGAGATCTAATTCCTGTTTAACTTTTAAGACCACTTAAGAATCTTATTTCTTCTCTCAAATTTATAGTGATTTTCTAAATCACTTCTCTGAATGCAAAAGCACATCCTAACCATGCCACTTGGCACTTCTTAGATTCTGCCAAGTAAGTGATTAGTCTATAAACATGTATTTTAGCTTTGCACAACTAGATTGCAAGTTTCATGATGGTGGGAACCATGTGCTATATTTCTTTCAATACCTTTGTGATATGTTGTATAATGGTAGGTGACTGATATACATATTTTTGATAGACTAAGCTTGATAATTTGCCCATCCATGAGGGCCCAGAAAACTTCTGGTAGGAATACTTTTACAGCTGCCTTGCCTATTCTCCTCTGACTGTAACTATCTCATCTTTGGGCAAAAGTACCACATGTACCAAGGCACTGTGCTAAACAGTGTGGATAAATATGATGAGGGAACCATGTAGCTTATCCTCAAGGAACTCAAGAGTAGGGGGTGAGAGACGAGCAAACAGTCAGTTGTTGTAATAAGTACTGAATGACAAATATAGCACACAGCACATTATAGAGAAGAAAACTTAGCTCTGAGAATTGATGTTGAACGTTCCATTGTGCTAAGTCACCTTAAAGTTATAATATCTCCACTCTTTAAACTCCCCCAAATTTTCAGAATATTCCAATCTTTAGTCACTTACCCTTGTTGCACAGGCTGTAACTGCAAGATCACTTGGGTTTTAGTGTCTTCAGGGTTCTCCCCTTCATTTCCTTCAGTGGGTACCACAACCACATCCCCCACTGGGACACTCACTTCTGCATTAGCCATCTTTCACATGAAGTCAGATAGCTGGGAATGCTGTCAGAAATAAGAAGCACCAATAATTTTGTCTGATTTGAAAAGATGACAACCATAGGAAAGGAACAGCAATATAATAACTCTTAATTCCAAGGGCATCCTGGAGATCATGGTCTCCTGAAAAAGATGGGAATTGTGAGAAAGGGCAGACATAGGCTCTGATCTTTCCACAGAAATGCCTTCGGACTCACTAGTTACTTAAGATTTTCTTAGTACGTGTGATTCACCCAGTGGTATGCTGCAGGCAGCTCTACCAGCTCCTGAGAACCAACTGTGCACGTGCATGCGTGCTCAGTCGTTCAGTCCTGTCCAGCTCTTTGCGACCCCATGGACTGTAGCCCGCCAGGCTCCTCTGTCCATGGAATTTTCTAGGCAAGAATACTGGAGTGGGTTGCCATTTCCTACTCCAGAGAATTTTCCTAACCCAGAAATTGAACCCGCATTTCTTGCATCTTCCGCACTGCAGGTGGATTCTTTACCACTGAGTCATAGGGGAAGCCAACTGTGTACATCTCTTTCCAACTCCCAGTTTAGCAACATCAAGTTGGTAGCTTGCAATCAGTGATTCTGGGAGTATATGCACCAAAGAAATTGGCAAGCATTACAAATCAGGGTATTTTTTATTCTAGAGAGCTGGTATACAACACATCACTAGATCCATCCCAAACAGTAAGTGCTTAGAAAGTAAGAATCATCTATTTTCTTTGCAACCAGCCATTACACTTCATCAAGCATTCTGAAACTAAGTTGCATAGAAAAAGAAAGATGATTTGCATTGTATGGCTGTTTAATAAATGCTGTGTCCAACTGTATGACTTCTAGGAACATCTTAATACCTCTTTGCCTTAAACTGAATGGAGATAGGCTCTTGCCTGACACTTCAGTTGCAGAGCTGTTGGGGAAACTACCGTCCAGTACCAAAAGATCTTTGACTCTAAATTAACTCAAAGCATTATCTCAATCTTAATGAAAACTCAGAGGGTCCTAAGTTACTAAGCTGTTAGTCTTCACAGCTGAAAAGAAAGGAGAGGGTCATATAAGAAAATATAGATAAGAGTACTCTGTTGACTGAGATATGTGAGTGCTTGAAGATGGACTGCAATGAACCGTGCCTAGACACACAATGGATATATATTTGGTACTCAAGATGACCAAATCCACATTTCAGCTCTGCCACAGCAATTGTCTGCCTATAATACACACATTTAACACAGCACTCAAAGTCTCCTTCATTTGGCCCCCCAAATTTCCCAGTTTTATCTGCAACTATAATACCCCAAGAATTTTAAATCCAGCCACATCAATCTCTCACTGAATTCTGGACATGTAACATGTATAGGTTTCCGTACCTTTGTTATTCTGTAAGCCCAAAACTCCTTTCTCCCTCATCTCCTTCTCCCTTCAAGGCCCAGTTCAAAGCTCACTCCTCCACAAAGCCACTACCTCCCCATTTTCTCTCCTGTAGGCCCCAATACTTGCTTGCCACTCTCCTCTAGTGTTTAATCACAGTGGCCTTGTACTGAGGGTAACTGAACACCCATCTACCTCCATGACCACACTGTGAAGACAGGCGTTGCTTATCTAAAAATCTTGTCTCCTACAGCCTTGTTCCTTGCAGGCACTGACATAGAGCAGTTCAATCAACTTTTGTTTGTGTTTGACCAAGTTAAAATTCCTCACATATGACTTAGACCTGCCCTTTATGATTCTCACATTCAAACTTTTTCGTGGATTCAACACCTCCTATATCCAAAAACCTCTTAAAATATCTTAGGCATCTTAAACTAAAAGCATGTTCCCTCTCAAACCTGCTCTTATGTTTCCTGCCTCAATAAATGGCGCTACCCTCCACCCATTTTCTCAAGTCAGAAACGAAGGAGCTATTTTTGACTCCTCTTTCTTCTCTTTCTAAATTCAACCAACCACCAAATAAATCCTAGCCATTCTATCACCTATATATCTCTTTTAACCATCCTCCACTCTCCATCTGTGCTGCCATCATCATATGCTGAACCACCACACTGTTACCTGGATTTTTCCAGCTGCTTCTCATCAGTATCCTAGCCTCTGATCTGGATCTCCAACTCATTATTAGATAAGAGACAAAATGATCTGACTAAAGGCCATTTCCCCCACTTAAAAAATCTTTCAGGGCATTCCCTTTGCTGCTATTATGGTGCAAACACCCTGACTTACAAAACCCACCAAATCTGTCCCCTGCCCACCCTACTGGCCTCATTTCCCACAGTTCTTCTCACACAGTGGGCTCCTGCCGTTGCATTTTTTCCAAATTCTCAAACATGCCATATTTCCTCACCTGATCCTTCACACTTATTTGCTCTACCTGGAATTCTTTTTTCTGTCCTTTTTGGCAAGTCACTGCTATACTTTTGTGACATTTAAAACATCACTTCCTCAGAGAGGCCCTCTGTGACTTCCTTGACTAGATTTGAGGGGGGTCTTCTTGCCTCCTGAAGCATCCCTCTCACAACCATCAGCCCACTCTGTCAGTCTCTCCTTACCAGACTGCATCCGGGGAGAGAAAAGCTAGCTTTACTTTTTTAACAGGCTTCCCTATGCTAGCTCAGTGCCCAGGGCCACAAAGTGCAATAATTTTCAAATAGCAGACTTCTATTTACAAAACTGCCTACCTAAAACTTTCTAAGGAAATCTGGTACACAGCAGGTATGTAATAAATTTTCATGCAATCAGTGACACACTTTACCCTAAAAGACTTCTAGAACTTTCTACTTCTTTAATTTAGGGGATATAAATTTGCTTAGAAAGCTTGAACTTCCCATAATGACAGGGAGAAATCACAACGGACACAGTTAGGCTCCTTAGATATGAAAAGGGATGGTATCTGTTCTTAAGGAACTACAGAAGGGAAAGAGATATGTGACACTGTCATATAGTAGAGGAAAAAAGTAATTGCAAGATACTAGAATATACAATCTGAACTTCTATAAATTAAAAGTTTAAAACTGGAGGTGGGGGGAGGGGTGGCGGATGGGAAATCAATGGACCAGTTTGGCTGGCTGCCAGAAACAGAACCTAAATGATTAGAACCTTTGAGTCTAGAAAATGCCAAAAGGGATATGATGAAGTATAAAATGCCATCAAATCCTAGAATAATTGAACCGATTGATATCTTTAAAGTTTGAACCATAAAAATGTAGGATGAATTGAAATAATCACAGCTAACATTTGTCAGACACTTATTTGTTGTCAAGCACTATCCTGCTACATATTCAATGAATTTAAAAGATAAAATACTTTAGCATATAACAATCGTCGGTAATTTATTATTTCAAAAAAGTGGTTTAAATGTTAAATTAACAGCATAGGTAAATTAATGGGTTACAAAAGCAAAATTAGAAGGATGCTTCTAGTTCAACCTTCTACCCTAAGGTTGAGTCCTCTCTCTCTACAATATTCTGAATAAATGGTTGACTAACTTCTTGATTAATACTTTCCTCAATAAGAACTCATATTTTACTTCTTACCCCTCCCACACCTTGGAACTCAAAAGCAATATTATGGCTGCTTCTCTAACCTTCTGAGAGTTTACCAGAAAAGATAATTATAATCATCCACAATAAGTCTCTCATTGTCAGTCAGACACACAGGTCTGATCCCACATGGCAATTGTTACATTCCTCAGAGAAGCAAGTTTGGGTTGAATATCTCTTACTACCCTAAATACCATATTCCGAGCAAGAAACCCTAACCAGCTCTACAGACTACACTGGCTAATTGGAAGGTCATTTCTTTGAGCTGAGTGTAAATTGAAAAGTGGTTCTTGTTTATAGCAACAAAAACTAAGGGAAGATGAGTAAGTTGCTCCTTTGGGTAGTTCATGGACGGGACCTTGGAGTATTCATTGTGGAATCGCACAACACTCTGTAGTTCTAGAACACACATAAGGGAAATATGTCAAACTTCTGTGAAAAGGAAGAATTATTTGTAGCTATTTTTAAAGACAAGACACCTTGAAAGTAACTACATGACTACTCATGTAACCTATCAAAAAATTAAATCAGTGATACCTGACCTACTCTGGATTAAATTCATTTTTGTGTTCTGAGAAGTTTGAAGAACAAGCCAAGATGGAAGCACAAGTGTCACATGATCATAGGAACATGACAGTTGGTAGCTGAGAGGGAGTCATAGAAATACCATATATCCTGAAATTTTCTAACTCCAAAATGTATGTTTCATACTTTAATTTTTGTAGACTATGTAGCCTATTCTAAGAAATTTCCAACTTAAAAACTTTATATTACATGAGGTCAAAACTCCTTGATTTTTTTCCTTCTTTATTCTGTTTCATGTATTTACTAGGTGATCCAGGGCACTACCAGATGTAATGAACCCAACAGGTCACTCACTACACAGGACCACTGAGGTAAAAAGTCATAGCAAATGAAGTTTCGGATGAATCACTTAATAGTGACCACTCTGTAGGTGTTCGGAGAAGCAACTGCAAAACGGATTTTTTGAAGGGTCAACCTACTACAGTTGAGGAGATTTCTTCTTAGGACGAGAACAAAACACAGCCCAAACTAACCCCATGAAGCTGAGTTGGCTATTCAATATGTCTGCTGTAAATACGAGTAAGCAACTAACAGGTAACTAAAGAAAAAAGTTAAGTCAGTAGACAATAAATACACATAATTGATAAAAGGCTGACAAATTAGGTCAGTCCAACAATTTAATGAAAAAGTCCCCCAAACGTTCCATAAGCAAAGAGAGAGAAAAGAATCCTGTGAGACTAAAATTAGCTGATCCTCTCTTTCCTTAATCCTCCAGGTTAAGAAGGAAAATGACACTTCTTGGTTCTCCTAAATATACACGAGTTAAGGCCCCTGTTTGTGTCTGTTAGGAAGTATTTGTGAATTTCTCTCATCTTGCGAGAATGCCTCCTCCTGCTCCTTACACAGCCAAGGCTTCCCATGATCAAGACTTGACGTGTCTTAAGTCTGGTTGGATCACACTCCAGGACCCTCAAGAGTCTGCTCTCACCTCTCCTGCCCCTCAATTAGGAAACACCAGGCCAATTCCCCTGTCATTTTAGAAAGCAGGGATATGCTAGCCTTCTTCCCAACAATTACCTTCTCCCCGGGCCTCAAAAACTCAGGTTTCCCCATCCGCGACAGGCCAGATCACCCTGCTTTCTACCTCTGTGAGGTACTCCAAGCTCTCTTTTATTCCCTCACAGATCTGGACCCTTCTCATTCCTTCGTCTGGAGGCTCTGAGGTGTCTTCCTACCGCCCCCTCATCTAGGAGAAGGTAGAGGCCTGCTCACTTTCCCTTGGAGCTGTTCTTCCTTGTCCCCTGCTTACCGGACCTGTCACTGTGCCTTCGGGGAAGCACCTGCCTCTTTTCGCCTGGACTGAATGGCCGAGGCCTCTAGGCGCCCCCGGGTGAAGCTTGGACACTCTTCCTCAGCAGAACCCACTCTCTGCCCTCGCTCCCCACCCCAAGGCTCCGAGAGGTCCTCCTGGGCAGGCAGCGGACTTCCTTCACTCTTCCCCCCCGTCCTTTCACCACTACCCCCTAGCCCGAGAGGCCTCATCCCCAGCTCCTCATCGAAGGGCCTGGTGCTCCCCAGATCCCGCCTTTAGGGATACCCCCTCGATCCCCAGACCCCTCCCCGGGGTCCTAGACGTCCGGGCCTCTCAGTCCGGAGTCGCTCCGGCCCTTCCTGGTCCCTCGGCAGAGGACTTCCGGGCCCCTCGGTCCGGGGGCGCCAGGGCCCCCCAGTGCCAGGCTCGCCGGCCCCCCGCCGCTCTCAGGGCGGGCGACGGAGCATGCGCAGAGGCCGCCACGGCCGCTACCGCCACCGCCGCCGCCAGGCCGGGCTTCAACACTTCCGGCCGCCGCCGCCGGCGAGTTGGAACCTTAAAGGGGACGCGTCCCTATTGCCAGCCCGCGGAGGATGAACTTCAGCCGGAGAGTTTGGGGCCTTTATCAGAGCAAGCAGCTTCTGCTCTGGAAAATTAGTGTTGGGAGGGACGCCAGGGACCCTAATAACTCTTCTAACCCCACTTCATGGATGAGGAAAACGTGGTCTAAATTAAAGACACCTCATCCGCGATCGGGAACAAAGGCAGGTCTCTCAAAGGCAGGACTCCCCTTGGAGGACTCTGCTGCCCCTCTTCACTCCTCAGATCCGGTTATGAAGCTTACATTTACCAGACTTTCAAAAGTGATGATCCAACTACCAATTTGGAATCAAAAGATCTGGTTGAGTATAGAGTCTGTAAGCAAACTCCTTTGCTCTCTCTGACCCATGCATGTTTGCCAAGACTTTTCTGGCTCGAGTTGGTTCTGGGTTCCAGTCAGAACCCATAAATTCTTTGGGGGTTACTTGACAGCTCTAAACCCCTATTTCGTCTAGGACAGAGGTTGTCGTTAGCGTTTAAAGAAGTGATACTTGAAAATGCTTAGGAGAGTTCCTGGGGCCAGTCGTAATAATTAGCAAATATTAAGACCTTTGTAGGAATTTCCCTGGAGGTCCATTAGTTAAAACTCCTTGCTTCCAATGCAGGGGAACAGGTTTGATCCTGGTCAGGAAACTAAGATCTGTTCCGCTAATAAATAAAAATAGCTTAAAAAAAAAAAATGAAGACCTTTTGTCTAGCTGGGCCTTGAAGAAGATTCCTTTATCTCATATAATCCTCTTGGCAACTCTACTAAGTAGCTTCTTTTCACTCCCGTTTTACAAATAAAATACAGGAGGCTAAGAGAAATTAATGAACCCCTCAAGGTCACCGAACTTGTAAGTAGTATAACCGGGATGCAAACTCAGGCCCTTCTTTCTGCGGAAAGTATAGTTATAAGCACTTAGATGGTTGCTACCTTTATTAAGAATGAATGAGGTGGTGGTATGCAGGCACTTTTTTGAGTTGGGGGGAGAGTTGCTTCCCCATCTTGCCTGCTCTTATGACTCACATCTCTGTTCTCTGTCCCCTCTGTCATGAGGAAGTAACAGGAAGTTTTACAGGCTCTTGATTCAAGAACAGGTGAGGCAGCCCAGGAGTCAAACAATAGAAAAGGATTTGGGAGCCAGACAACCTGGATTCTAGGCTTGGTTATCAAAGCTCATCACTGCATTGGTGACTGCAGCCATGAAATTAAAAGACGCTTACTCCTTGAAAGAGAAGTTATGACCAATCTAGACAGCATATTAAAAAGAAGAGACATTACCTTGCCAAAAACGGTCCATCCAGTCAAGACTATGGTTTTTCCAGTAGTCATGTATGGATGTGAGAGTTGGACTATAAAGAAAGCTGGGCGCCAAAAAATTGATGCTTTTGAACTGTGGTGGAGAAGACTCTGGAGAGTCCCTTGGACTGCAAGGAGATTCAACCAGTCCATCCTAAAGGAAATCAGTCCTGAATATTCACTGGAAGGACTGATGCTGAAGCTGAAACTCCAATACTTTGGCCACCTGATGCAAAGAACTGACTCATTCGAAAAGACCCTGATGCTGGGAAAGATTGAATGCAGGAGGAGAAGGGGATGACAGAGGATGAGATGACGGGACAGCATCACCGACTCAAGGGACAGGAGTTTGAGTAAACCCCGGGAGTTGGTGATGGACAGGAAAGCCTGACGTGCTGCAGTCCATGGAGTCACAAAAGAGTCGGACACGAGTGAGCAACTGAACTGAACTGATCAAAGCTCAGGGATCTTGGCCAAGTCACATCTCCTTTATGCCTTGATTTCCTCATCTGTAAAACTGAGATAGTTTTCTCACTGTGTCCGTCTCTCAGGGCTGTTTTCAGGATCAAATGAGGAGGTTTAGTATCCACATTCATATCCATTCTTATGATCAAGAATTTACACATTAGCAGATGATTCTGAATATAATAGGGACTGGTCATGACTGGACTCTTGACCTTTGTGAACTATTTCATAGTGATACCATCTATATATTTTTTTCATCTATATCTTTTGATTATGCATCGTGCACTAATGGAACATTTACCAAAACCCTGTCCCTGTCTTCCAGAAGCTCTCGGTCTACCTTCTTCAGGAACAGAATTGTAAACATGCAAGGTGTACGGTGTGATAGGTGTTATGGTAGAGATACAAACAACGCACTGAAAAAGTGCAAAGGACTCTCCCTGCAGGATTCCTGAAAGGCTTCACAGATGAGGGGGCAATTGCACCTGGTCTTAAAGGATGACGAGTTCATCCTTTAAGGGAAAAGTGGGGCAGAACATTCCAAAAAGAACAAGTGGGTGTGAAGAGGGAGGCTCGGAACCAGATGGTCCTCATAAAGAGTGAAGAGGTATTCAAGGAGTGGGGACCCACTGGAGGTTTAAGTCCTCTCTGGCTGTGCTGCTAACGCCCAGTCCCAGCCCGCAGGACTTACCTGGACCACTGAAGTAATTCCTAGTACTCAGCAACCCTGTCCACCCACCTTCTAAATGTTATCTACCCTAGGGACCTAGAGGGAGTAATCTTTTAAAGAAACAAAGTAGGTGATTTCTCTGTTTAAAAACCCTTCAGTAGCTTCGCATTGCACTTAGAATAAAACCTAGACCCCTTGCTAGGACCACCGCGTGTGATGTTCCTGCCTTCCTCCGACCTCACTCCCTATGCTCCAGACAACCTATGTGTGCCTGGAACCCCCGCTCAGGCCCTTGTCATGGCTCTTCCGTCTCCCTGGGCAGCTCTTCCCTCAGGTTTTCAAGGTTCACTCATCTTTCCTTCCTCACAGGCCTTCCCTGGCTCCCAACCTTAAAGCGGGGTCCCCAGCCACATTCTACTCTATCACTGTTGCTCCCCTTTCCATCAGGGCGCTGGTCAGTTTCATTTGGAGGACTCTTCACGGCACCACATTTGAGAGAACTCCTATATCCATGTCCTAGTTATTGTCTCCCAACCTCCAGCTAATTTTCATAGCAGTCTCCACAATGTGAAATCCTCTGGATTATTTCTTGACCTATTTTGTGTCAATCTATGAAGTATGGTGCGTGGCAAATGTTTTTTGATTGAATGACTGAATAATCAGAAAAAAATGCTAAGATATGGACTGGAGAGGAGGAAGACCAGGACAAGAAAACTTCTGTGAGGGAGACTAGGATCATCTTTCTAGGATCCTCCCCTCAAGAGAGAGAGATAGGCTTCATGCAGGGCAGAGTTCATGGCTTTGGACACAGTTCCAATCGAAACAACAAGTCTTAGTGACCAAGTGAATGTGATGAATGAGAGAAAGGGACGAGGATATTCCCCAAGTAAAAGAATGAAGCAGGAAGAGTTGGGATTGAGAGAAAGTGGAAATGATGAGTCTACTTGAGCTTCTTCAGTCTGTGATATTTGAGGGGCATCTAAATGAAAGCCTCCAGGAGGAAGTTGGATTGACTTGTCCTCGGGCAAGAATCCAGGGCTAGATTTGATGACTTGTCAATTAGATGGACCATAGAGGCCAAGAGTGAATGGGTCATCTAGGGAGAGTGTGCAGGGAAGGAGGAAGGAAACTAGAAGCCCAAACCTGGGGAACAGTAAGCCCTGAGGAAACTAAAGGAACCAACTGAAAGTGGTCAGAGTGATTAGCTCCCTGGACAGAGGAGAGCGAAGCCCAGAGAGCAGGCAGGGAGCTTCCAGAAGAAGGGGATGGCATCAGCCATGCCAGATATTGCAGAGAGCTCAGGCAAGGGAAAAAAAAGATCACTGGATGTGGCAACTAAGAGGTCATTGCTGATCCTTCAGAGATGGGGTCACCTCTGAGGTTAGGAAGGAGGCGCAGATTCTAGTGGCTCAAATGGTAAATGGGAGGAGAATTAACAGAAACAGTGAGTAGAGATAATATTTTTTGACCAAAAAATATTTTTTTGACTCGTGTTTTTTTTTTTTTTTTAACTGTGGTAAGAACACTTAAAGTAAGATCTACTCTCCTAACAGGTTTTTAGGTGTGCAATACAATATTGTTATCTGTAGGCACAATGTTGTATGGCATATCTCTAGCATTTATTCATCTTTTTTTCATCTGTTGTATATGTATACTTTTCCTTTTTTCTTTATTATTTTTTATTGGAGTATGATTGGTTTATAATGTAGTGTTCGTTTCTGCTGTACAACAACAACAACAAAATTTTTTAACAAAAAGGAGAAACTAAAATATAGAGCACCAAGATGATTATTTTAGGAGAAGGACTTCCCTGGTGGTCCAGTAGTTAGGATTCTGCACTTCCACTGCAGGGGGCCCAGGTTCCACCTCTGGTCAAGGAACTGAGATCCTGCAAGTCTCTGCAGGGCCAAGATAGAAAATAAATAATAAAGACAAATTAACAGGAGAAAAAGTCACGCGAAGGTCTTCCTTCT